GATTTTAGCGAATCATTTAGTTTTTTCTTTTTTACATTTTTTTCAGATTTTATATCACTGTTAGCTTTTCGTTTTTTAACTTTTGTACTTATGAGTACTCTATCACGATTCCTCTCATTAACATTACATTCTTTCTCTGTATGACCTGAAAATAATAAAAATTAGTTATGTAAATTTATGTGGAATATTTTATACAGTACATATAGAAAGATGGTATATACCAAGTTCATTGCATTTGAAGCATCTTCCAGTTATTTGTGGTTTCTGACCACACACATGTTGCGCCGCAATACATCTTTTACAGGTTTTACAATGCTTCCAATAAGGTTTTACACATCTTTCACACACATTACAGTGTACATATGTGGTACCATTTTTCGAGGTACAGTCATTACACTTTTTACAGTGTTTGTTTTCTTTGGAAACCCATCTCCGACATTTTTTACAATATTTATAACCATCGGATTCAGGTAGTTCCAACAAATGTAGTGGTATATTTGTAAAGATTCTAATGGGCGAAGGGAGCTTATTATTTTTAGGATTTCCTACAAACATGGGATGATTTTCGTAACACACTTTGTAATCTGTTAGCTGCAAATCCTTCAAACCCCCAGATATGCCAGGTGGGTTACTTTTCTGCTTTATTAAAGATTCCATAAAATATGGAAATATAAACATGATTTTCAAACAATCATTTTCATTTGTAATGTTATTCCATTTCTTATGAAGATCAGAAAGTTTCTTTATGGTCCACGACATTGCTTCTACTCGACTGCCAAATGGTGGATCACATATTACATATGTATTTTTGCCTTCATTTTGCATCATAAAATCTTTAAATACATGAAAAGAGTTCTCATTGAAGAAGTGGTTGTTCAATAAATTGTACCAACAATAATTTAATGGTCCAAAAAAGTTGTGCTGTAATGTAATAATATAAAAAATCAAATTCCGTTTTAGTCACCCCCTGTTTTTTGCATTTTATGTTTTAAAATTTAATGAACTTACAAATCTTCCATCGAAATCTAATAAAAGGGAGGACATTTGATCTTCATATTTATCTAAAACATATTCATGAATTCTTGGGGCACCAATACAAATAACTTGCTTTGCACCAAGTTTTATAAGCATATTTGTTATATCCTCTGTGGATTTCTTTGAAAAGAAATATTGAGCTTCTTGTTTAGAGTTTTCTAAGGGCTTTAAAAGTTCTGTTGGATATTTCATCTCATGATCAGTAATACCTTCTTTCACGCTATGATCATTGTGACTCTTATTTTTATCGTGAGAATGTAATAGTTTATCACATGTATAACAATAATTTCTTTTCTCTGGTGATAGATTCATTATCTCGTGGAATGTCAAATATAATAATCTGTGACGATAACGGGAAGCATATTCTTTTTTGTCTTTTTCCCATTTAGCTGCCTGCTGTTTTGTTAATTGTTCTCCTTCCTTCAAATGAAATTTACATAGCTTCTTGTCACGGCAAGCTGCGCATACATAAAACTTCTCTAATTTACCATTTTCATATGTACCGAACAATAAAGTTGGTCCTATATAAAAACATCATTAATTATTTAACGTTTATTATGCAACAATGTAAAAAAATGCAGTGTGTAAAATCACCATGTGGACACTGTGGATGTTTACTCAGATCAGACCAAAAGCATTCCATAATTGTTACCTTCTTGAAGGAAAATTAATAAATTATATAAATATTATCCATAAACGGAGTATATGTATAAATTATATAATTAATATCTGATATTATTCACTTATTTGTCATATTAAGTATCATGCGGAAAATGTTAAGGTTAATCAAAACAAAACAGCATGTTACCATGTGAGATTAATCGATACTCGTAAGTGTAGGCAGTTATATAGTAATCAAACAGACTTCGATTCTCGAATCGCATACAATAATCGACAATTTAAATTCATACTTCGCCGCTGGAAGTATAAATCAACAGTTTGAAAGTTTGAACAGTGCAAACCATTAAAGTGAATTTTAATTGTGTTTATAAAGATTATCAAATGGAAAATTAGAAAATAAATGTTTACAACTGTAAGTAATAAAAAATACTTTTTTAAATTTTATTTTAGTAC